TAAACATTTTTAAGGACACATGTACATTTTTAAAGATGTACTGGTCTATATATCTAATTCTCAACAGTCCCCCCCTGTGTGCAGATACTTCTTTCTGCAAACAGAGGGCACACTCTCCCCCAACAGGTTTTTATACAGACTCAGGGGACTCCATGGGTGTGCAGAAAAATCCAAAAAGTTAAAAACAAACAAACTCGGGGAGGCTTGAAACACCCCCCCCAATACCTTTTGCAATGGCCGCCACAGGGATCTACTCCAGGCCCCACTGAATTGACTGAGAGATAGACTGGCTGATAGCCAGAGAGACAGAGAGAGATGATAAGTGGGGGAAGAGGGCAGGAATCAAAAGCAAAACTGGAGCTGGGATTGGGTAGGATTCCTCTTGTGGTATGAATGACTAAACAGCAGGGAGTTTGGGTTAAAAAAGGCAGGGGGAGAGGGCAGGACACTTTCCAGGCCTATTTTAGAGCCAGGCCTAGAACTAGGATTGCCCACTGCAGGTTGGGAAATTCCTGGAGATTCTGTGGTGAAGTCTGAGGAGTGCAGATTTTGGGAAGGGGAGAGGCCTCAGCTAGATATAATGCCACAGAGTCCATCCATTTTCTCCAGGGGGACAGATCTCTGTTCAGTTGTAATTCTGGGGGATCCCCAGGTCCCGCCTGAAGGCTGGCAAACCTAGGCCTAGCAATACCTTCTGAGTGACTTGAGACCAGGTGATTCAACTAGGTCTGGCTGCTTACTACTGTTCAACAGCAGCCACCCTATGAAAGTCAGTGTAGTATAACAGTCAGAGTTTCAGAGTAGGGTTTGCGAGACCCAGGTTTAGATCCACATCTTGCTGTGGAAGCTCACATACTTTCAGCCTAACCTACCTCATAGGATTGTTGTGAGAATAAAAAGGAGGAGATAATGTAAACTGCTTTAGGATTGTTGTGTGGATAAAAAGGAGTAGAGAATAATGTAAACTGCTGACTGTGGAGAAAGACCATCATTTTCCTCAGTAGAAGCTGCATGTGGAAAGGAGATGGAAAGCTGAAGACAGGGGGGCAGGTAAAAGTAGGCTGGCTGTTGGATGGGAAGGAGATAGGGATTCCAACTCCAGGTTAGGAAATTTCTGGATATTTGAGGGGTGGAGCCTAGGGATGGTGGGGATTGAGGCAGGGAGGCACTTCAGGCTGATATAATGCCATAGACTCCACCCTCCAAAGCAGTAATTTCCTCCAGGGGAACTAATGTTGCCAACTTCCAGGTAAGGGCTGAAGATTTCCTGGAATTACAACTGATCTCCAGATGACAGAGATCAGTTCCCCTGGAGAAAATAGCTCCTTTGAAGGGTGGAATTGATGGTATTATATTCTGCTTAGGTCACTTCCAAGCTCAACCTCATCCTCCAAAGGCTCCACCCCAAATCTCCAGGAATTTCCGAACATGGAGCTGGCAACCCTAAAAGGAACTGATCTCTGTATTTGGGCAATCCATTGTGATTCCTGGAGAGCACCTGCTGCCGCTGCTGCTGTGGGAGGGAGGAAGTAGGTGGGAGGCTGGGAGAGTGACAGGGGCAGAAAGAGTGGTGGGATGGGGGCAGAAAGAAAGTGACAGGCATGGATGGGAGACAGAGAGAGAGTAAGAAAAGGGGTGGCAGGAAGGAGATAGAGTGTGAGAGAAGTCAGGGGAGAGGGGAAGAAGCAGAGGTGGGGGGAATGGGATAGCCCCTCCCACAAGTTTCTTGCAGGCCCTCACTTGTTTAATATATTTCAGTCTGAAATATATTTTCACCCAGTGAAGCAACCAATGTGGACGCACACTCCCATTAGAGCTCATAGTTGCCTGCAACTCCTGGTTGTTCTCTTGCCATAAACAACAACAACAACAAAATAATGTTCACTAAAATTCCAAAGCCAGCAATCCTCCAAATCTTTCAAAAGCTAATTGCACAGTTATCATAAAACAGAAATGGGCATTTTCTGTTGACTCCAGTTATCAACTTAATAATTCCTTACAAATTGAGGCAGTTTAAAAAACTATCATTAAATAAGAACTTATCTCAAGATTATGACAATATATATGGAATGCTCATGGGGCTGTGTGTGTCACAATATGTGTAGAAACAAAACAGAATTTACCAGAGACTTTCTTGCAACATAAACAAAATTTTGGGGCTGTGTACTATATCATTACTATAAAGTAATGATTCTTGAGGAACAGCCCACGTGTTCATCTGCTGCAGCAAAAATAAACAGGAATCTAATAATTATTATTGTAATAAATACAGGGGTAATTTAGTAGAAAAAGAGGTACAGGAGCTCATTAGCATAACTTGTTTGCATATGCCACACCTCCTGACATCACCGGAAGTGTGTCAGAAGGCAACATTCACCGCCCAGGCTGCACTGGACTGTTTTGGATTGCTAGCTATTGGGGGGGGGGGAATGTGCAGATCTGTCCTCGCAGAGGAGGGAGAGCTTGTACCTGAATAAAACTTGGTCTTAAAGGTGCCACTGGACTGTTTTGGACCGGCGGGCCGGGGCTCTGCAGCTTACCTGGCTGCTTCTTGCTCTGACTGAGGGCTGCTGGGAGCAGGGGGTGGGGATTGTTGTATGTGCCCGCCCCCTGGGCTCTTTACTGACAGAGCTCCGCTCCTGTGCACTCCTGCAGGAAATGACCCCTGAATAAATATAATAATAATGAAGGGTCAAGTTGCAACCAACTTACAGCAACTGCTCAAGGACTGTTCAAGGCAAGAGATAAGCAGAGGTGGTTTGCCATTGCCTGCCTCTGCATAGCAATCCTAGTCTTCCTTGGAGGTCTGCTCTCCCAGTACTAACCTTAAAGACTAACAATATTTTATTCCAACATCAGTTTTCATGTACCATCATGTAACTGCACAGTGAAAATCCACACATACCCTCTGAAGAAATGGGCTCTGGTCCATAAAAGCTAACATTGGAATAAAAAGTTGTTAATCTTTAAGGCACTACAGAGCCCCTGCTTCTTTTTATTTTCTTCAAGAGCTTCTTCTCAGAGGTCAAACTACACGTTTGACACTGGAGTTCCATGACTAGAATTTTAACTCTATAAAGCAGCTGTACAGTGTGTATGTATGTGTAATCTGCAGTGGTTTTTTTCAAAAGAAAAAACAAGTGCTGGTACTCAAATACAAGGTGGCATTAATTTCCACCAATTCCCCTCTCAGGACCTGGAAGACCACCCCCAAAGCTGCTGGTACTCTGTACCAGTAAGTACTGCAACAAAAAAAGCCCTGGAGAGAAATTTTAAACCCTCCCCATGTGTTTTCTTGACTGAAACTCCCCTCCTGGGCTGCTCCCCCCCACTTTTATAAGAGCTTAAAGCAGGCCTTGGAGAGTCATTAGGAATCTTAGAAATAACACACAGAGGGAGGAATGGTTATTCCACAGCCCCAATTCATATCCCTATCCCTACTGCTGCTTTTTTGGGGGCCAAATAACACACCGGGAGCTCCAGTCATACAACTCAATCGCATATAGTTCAATCTTCAGTTAGAAACTTCTTGGGTGAATGCAGAGATGTGGGGAAGGATTAACTCCCTAGAGAGATGCTGTGATATTTCAGAAAGGAGGTGAAAGGAAAAGAAAATTATTCCCGTGAAGGGTTTTCTTCATTACTTCCCAGCCCACAGAAGTGAGCATACAATAAGGGAGGTCCATGTGCATTGATTTTAGATCTGAAGAAGTCTACAGCTAACAGCATTTTAAGTGTATCCATTTTCAGTTAGTTCAACAAAATTACCAATGAAGAAAGTAACAAAGTGAAAGTTTTTTTGTGGGAAATTGCAGACTAAAAGTGATCATTTAGATTGTGAAATGTTTCTTTTCATCAAAAGTAAGGGGTTTTTAAATACAGAAGTAAAGTCAGGAGGGGCTTTTGGATGCTTTATCCTCCCTAGACATTTTGCAAGCTGTAATCTGTGTCTCTTTCAAGATGGTAATCTTCAGCAATTCTGTTGTTCAAAGAGTATTTTTTTGATCCTAAAGGGTGCTTGCTAGAAAATTTCTGGCAATAAAGATCATAACCAGCCTCTGAGAAGTTGAGAGAAACAGCACACACACTGGGTTCAGAAATAAAAAGGCCTTACACATCTCTAACCAAACCATGCCCAAAACTTTCTGTAATGTACAATTTATATAAAACGGAGTTTACAGCATGCTTTATTAATATTTCCATTGCGTTCTTCTACAGCCCTTCTTGCATACTACAGCCAAAGATGTTTAGAAGGTTATTCCCATATTTACAGGATATGACTGAGGTGTCACAAGTGCTAGCACTTGGCCCAAACAAGATAACAAAGTAAATAAACTCAATGGCAACACTTTACCCGTGAAGTGTAACTGCCAAGCAAGCCATTACAACATGTACTTTATTCTTTGCTTTTAATAGAACAGACATGTATTCCCAAATACCAATCTAAGATACCTCTTTTCTACATTCGAATCAGAGTAACTCTCTGCATGTGGCACATTCTATTAGCATCTTCCAGTGCACACTAGTCTGGAATGTGGAGTGGATCACTTTCCTGCTTGTTATGTTTGGTAGCTCCAATGTATGAGGACTTTAATTATTCAGGTAATTAGAGTTTAACTTAATTCAGGCCAAACCAGAATACTGGTTCTTCAAGAGCGATGAGGGGAGTCTATCAACAGGGTCAATGACCTTACAGGGTTGTCTTAGTTCGTGCAATCTTCAATTTCCTCTCATGCATCTGAAGAAGCAACAAGGCCATTGCAATCCAGTTCATGCAGAAAAAGTAATAATGCTAGTGAAGTTACTGAAACTGAGCTGTGCCCCGGGGCTAAACCAGTAAACTAAACAGCAGCGATCAGATCTGCCCCATGGAAGGCTCAGCAAGGGTCTACTGGAACGCTGGAGGTGCCAGATACCGCGAGAACACGGAATTCGCGACACTGAGTAGAGCGCGTGACCCCGTCTCCTAGCAACGGGCTTTGACTCTCTCCCGGTCGGTTATGGATCTCAGGCAAAGCCACCCCGAGAGCGAACCGCAGCGCCAACGGTGCACCTTGACCGACCTTAAGCATCAGGCTGCAGAATATTACCGGAGCAACGAAGTACCGCAGCGCCTGGAGGAGGTGCTCAACACCATGTTCTACCTCCGCCCGCCAGACTTCTATGGGCACCTGGTACGTATGCCGGCCGGTGCACCAAAGTGCGCATGCGTCCCGGGAGGAACCGAGCCGGGAGCAAAACTATCTAGTACGCAGGCGTCAGTGGAATTAGGGACAAAAGGGAGTGGGATTGGGAGTGTGAGTGGGAGGATGGAATTCGTTTCTTTTGTAGGGAGTTGTATGAACGACACAGTTTCTTGGTTTCGAGTGGGAGGATGGAATTCGTTTCTTTTGAATAGAGAGTTGTATGAACGACACAGTTTCTTGGTTATTTGCGCGTGCATGATTGTTCTGAAGCAAGCCCGACTTCAATAGGGTTTGCTGTCAGAATCTTAGTAGTTGTGGGCTGAATTCTGTGCTTTAGAATAAGTTGTATTGCGTGCGCTGGGGGTTCTGAGTCAACACTCATGGCTTGGACTGTTAAAATACGTTGCTCGAGCAGGCGACAGGCCTACCTCCTTTCCCCGTAACATTAAAAGGACTGAAATGGGTTGGAGTGTGTGTGAATGTGTGAAGTGCCCTCAAGTTGCTTCCAAAGTTATGGAGACCCTGTGAATTAATGTTCTCCATAACGTCCTCTTGTTAACAGCCTTGCTCAGGTCTTTCAAACTGAGGGCCGTGGATTCCTTGATTGAGCCAGTCCATCTCATGTTGGGTCTTCCTCTTTTTCTGCTGCCTTCAACTTTTCATAGCATCATTGTATTTTCCTCTTCCTCTTGTCTTCTCATAATGTGACCAAAGCATGATAGCCTCAGTTTAGTAATTTGAGCTTCCAGGGAGAGTTCAGACTTGAATTGGTATAAAACCCACTTGTTTGTCTTTGTGGCAGTCCACGGTACCTGTAAAACTCCCTTTCAACACCACATTTCAAATTAATTAGCTTGCTTTATTGTTGAACTTCCACACCCATACATAGCAATGAGGTGTAAAGGTAAAGGTTCCCTTGCTCAAAAGCCAGTCGAATCTGACTCTAGGGTTGCGGTGCTCATCTCCATTTCAAAGCCAAAGAGCCAGCGCTGTCTGAAGACATTTCCATGGTCATGTGGCTGGCATGACTAAACACCAAGGCGCACGGACACTTACCTTCCCATTGAAGTGGTACCTATTTATGTACTTGCAATTTCTTGCTTTCGAACTGCTAGATTGGCAGGAGCTGGAACCAGACATGGGAGCTCACTCCGTCATGCGGCACACTCAGGTCTCGAACTGCTGAACTACCGACCTTCCACAGCCTGCAGTTCAGTGTCTTAACCACTTGAGCCACCGTACGGTGATGTTGGTCACCAGCAACTTATCCTTACATTTAAAGATCTTTTCTAGCTCCTTCATGGCTACCTTTCCCACTCTCAGTCTCTCTCTGATTTCTTGTTTGTACCCTTTTTTGTTTGAAGATGGAGCCAAGGAATAGAAAATCTTTAACCATTTCAATTTCTTCATCATCATCCTTAAAGTTGTGTAATTCCACAGTAGTCATCACTTTTGTCTTGTTCAGCTGTAATCCTGCTTTTACACTTTCTGCTTTAACCTTCATCAGGAGTTGTTTCAAGTCTTCACTAGTTTCTGTCAGTAATGTGGCGTCATCTGCATATCTCAAATTGTTGATCTTCCTTCTGCCAATTCTCACTCCACCTTCATCTAAATCTAGTCCAGCTTTCCTTATGATATGTTCTGCATACAGATTGAAGAGATGGGGAGCTAAAATGCATTTTTGTCCAACACCTTTGCCAATTGGAAACCATTCTGTTTCTCCGTATTCTGTCCAGAGTACAGGTTGCACATCAAAACAATCAGAGTAATGGGGGATATAATGGAGGTTTTGTCTGCTTGTTTGTTTTTTGTCATCAAGTAATAGCTGATTTATGGCACCCCCATAGGTTTTTCAAGAGAAGAGACAGTCAGCGGTGGTCTGCCACTGCTTGCCTCTGCATAGTGACCCTGGTATTTCTTGGTGGTCTCCTGTCGAAATGCCAACCAAGCCCAACCCCACTTAGCTTCCCAGACCTGACCAAATCAGGCTAGCCTGACCAATCCATGTCAGGGCGATTTCAGGTTAATGATATAGAAAGTGCCAAAAGGATGCAAAATTTTAACCGTGTGGGTCTCACACAATTTTAGCTATGATGGGTTATACTTAAAAAGGTATCATGACAAGAGCATAATTAGGGACATGGGAAGCTGTGGAGACTGGCATTGCTGTGGTATCAGTAACACAATAGTATCATGGGGTTTACGACTGGGTAGTGTTACACAAGCTGGACCAAGGGAAGGGAAATTAGCTTTAAAAGGGTTCCAGAAAGAAACAAGAGACCTTTGGTCTATGTATACTAGGGTGGTTCTCAGTAGGGGTACCCCAAAATGGAATTAGAAAGAGAATGAGTGATTTTAAACAGAAACAATTTTATTGTATACAAAATAAAAGAAGTAAAAATGTAAAGAACCTACACTAAGCACTTGAAAACTAATTCCCCAAGTAAGCACACATGCACACATACCAGCAAGAGAGTGCACTTATAAAAAGGAAAAGGGAGGATATTAGGAAGTTTTAGGGGAGGGACATACAGCCTGAAATCCTGGGTTTGAAGTCTGGAGGAGTTTGCAACACAGTTGCAGGGGTGTTCAGGTAGTGGGAAACTTTTCATGGACCTGGGTTGGTCTTTTTATGGGGAAGAGTCCCATAGCGAGACATGGGAACCCACTTTCCCAGGAACATGATTGGTCCAAGATAAAAAGTTTGAATTTCACTGGCTAGTTTAAAGTTAACTTGTCAAACTGGTGGGGAAAAGTGAGAAAAATACCTTGATTAGGCTATTGTGAGCCAAATCTGCATGGATGCAAATGTTTGGATGAGTCGAGATAGCTCCTGAAATGGAATGGAGTGTGAATTAATGACTTGAGTGCCCTTTTTGATTGAGTAAGGCCCCGGTCACACAGGCCAGATAATGTGGGGGGGGGGAGGCGTGGCTTTTTGCACCGGCGCAATTTAACGCGCCAGAACGCAATCAGACGCCACGGCGGCAAAGTGAGGTTTTGTTTGTCGGCGTGTGTTTTTGGTGCACGTCAACACAGCAAGAGGAGTGCGCTTGAGCAATCACACGTAGGTATTCCGTCGACGGCCCGTAGCAAACCGTTTGCTAGTAGGCTTTCCCGGGTATTTTTTAACTCTGGATTTTCGGGGCGGATGCTACAGGTCGGCGATGGGTGTGCTATGCTTGCCAGATGTGTCCTTGTGATCGCGCCCATTTACTCTACCCGACATTCGTGCCTCTCCTGCTGCAAATTCCACATGTGAACAGGGTCTAAAAAGGGAAAAAGAGGAACCTGGTGTCGGTTAATGAAACAGCAACTTCCTTGGGCTGGGTAGACACCTCTGGGGTATGCCAGGATATTTCAGTGCTGAAAAACCTTTTGTTATTCAGAATGAAGTCTAATTGTTCTTGAGAACCCTGAGCTGGGGGAGGCTGTATGTAATCAGTTTGTGATGCCAGCACACCCTACCTCTTTCCTGAGCTTTTATGGCTTTACACAGGTGTCTTTATGAGACTCTCCAGGTTTCATGGCCCCTGGCACTTAGGCTCTAGAAGGGGGTGCCTATTCAAACAACTAAGTCTGAAATAAGATGGGGACCCCACTAACCAAGGGGATCTTGGCTGTAGAAGGGGGTGGGGTCCTTACAGTTGGAAACAGCATTCGTCATCCAGACAACTATCAAAGGCAGAGAACCACTGGTTCCTTCCCTCTTGACTCGCAGGACATTAAAGACTTCTCATCTTGGGAAAAGGGACAAAAATATATACTTAGCAATGGGGAATAATATTGAGAAGGGGTGGTGGAAGATGGTAGATATGTAAGGCTGTATGGTTTAGGTGACTTTTTCCTGACTCTTAAATGGCATGACCGTGTATCTTGAATTGTTAGAAAGGTTGCTGCCCTGTATAGATTCACATGTGCATTGTGGAAGGGAGTTGCTTGAAATTATACTATATAAGTATTGTGCTTGGGCCAACCCAAATAATATGTTTCACATATCTGTTAAGGGTGTTGTTACAAGGTGATCTAGAATAAAGAGAAAACCTTGGAGCTATAGTAGGGGTTGACTAAAAACTACCTGCTTTAATTTCTTATTTGATTAATGGGATCAGGATCATCATGCACTCTCCACTAGAAGATGCTGTTAAAATAATTAGTTATAAAGAGGGTGGCTAGAAAATATGAATCAACATTTATCTTATAGCATATACCTTATATGTCATTTAAATGGCCCTGATTGTTACAGAAGACCATGCTGGTGGACTTTGTTGGTATTAGGTACTACTCTGTTGTTGGTTTCTCTCCTTTGCTCATCAGCCACCGAAAGGAAAAATGCGCCATCAACAAAGGGCAGGCTAGAAACTAGAAGAACCGGTGTAGGTGGTACCTTTCCATGGAGAGGCCATGGTTACATTTGTGTTTATTTAACAAACTTAAATGGATGCAATCACGATTTTCTATTCATATACTCCTAAACATCCTGTTTATTGTTACATGGAATTCAAGAGGCAGTGGTGTACTTAGCCTATTTGGTGGCTGGGGTGGATAATTTTTTAACATCCCCTCCTCTTCCCCCGCCCCATCAAGTCACAGCTCAAGTATGGCGACCTCTTAGGGTTTTCAAGGCAAGAGATGTTCAGAGGTGGTTTGCCATTGCCTGCCTCCACATCAACCCTTCTTGCCTTCTGAGATCTGAGGTGGGGGGGGACACACAGAAAAATTAGGTGAAGGAAGACAGAAATGAATGAGAAACATGTGGAAAAGAGGGAGAGAAATTAAGAGAGGGAAGGATTGTTTTTATCTTGCTGCAACAAGGAAGGCTAGACCAGAGGGGTCTAACTCATTTGTTACAAGGGCCAGATCTGACATAAGTCATTTTTTTGGGCCAGGCCATGTGTGCTATAAAATGTAACACTAGGTACTGGAGATATAAACTTTATAAAGGTAATTTCAGATGCTGAATGGCAATGCAGGTGAATGACAATAGCAGGCTTGATTGGATTAGGTGTGAAATGCAGAGAGTCATGGAGATATCAGCAGTGGTCCATGTTTCAGTTTGGTCCAGGAAGATTCAGTCCAGGAGGATGCTCGATGGACATAAATCTGAGATTAAAAACCACAACATTTAAAAACCAATTGAGGAACATTTTAACCTTCCAGGACATTCAGTTGCTGACCCAAGAGTACCAGTTCTCTTACAAAGGAATTTCAAAGGGAGTTTAGAAAGAGACTGCTGAATTGCAACTGATAGTGAAGCTCAAGATAATGCATCGTCCTGGACTGAATTGAAACCTAGGTTTCCTGTATCATTACTAATGCCTGCTATTGTCAATCAGCATCTGAAATCATTCCACTCTCCAAGATGTAAGGACAGATGGACTCACATTCTAGTTGTGTCTGAAGAACTCATGAAAGCTCAAGCTCTGCCACAAATTTTCTTAGTCATTAAGGTGCTATTGGACTCTTGCTCTTTTCCACTAATAAAGATTGCAAGCTGTGATGTTAGGTTTCCTTCCCCCCCATCTGTTAGAAATGGAGAAGTCAAATAATGTGTTGATTTCAGACTGGGTAAAATCCCCTCAGTGCTAGTGATGATAATGAAACAGTTAAAAAAGCAAGGGGGGGTTAATGTGAAGAAAGGCAGCCAGTGAGCTAGGAGGGGAGAGAGGGAGACATGTTGAACTGGAACATATTGAACCCTAGATGTATTTTTAAATAATTATCAATCTATTTCCTGTCATTAAACAATGGAATCCTATCCAACTGTTCTAATTCCTAATCAGGGTCTTTTTAAAATAAAATAAAATACCAGATAGACATGGAGAAATCTAATCTTAAAGAACCCTTTTAATAAGCCAAAACAATATATTTTTAATTCCCCTTTCCCCTTATCCCAACGCATCTCTTTCCTGTACCCCTTTCCTTTCTTTTAATGTGTGTGTGTGATCAGGTCTCAAACAGCAGAGCAGAGCAATCTCAATGCTTGTCAGAAAAACTCCCCTCCCTCCCCTCCCTCCGAAGAGGTGTGTGTGCACTTGAAAGCTTATACTTTGAATAAATTTTTTGTCAGTTTTAAAGGTGCCACTGGACTTGAACTTTGCTCTCTCTAGCAATTACTGTAGCAGCTATCAACATAATCTATTAAAGACGTTTGCTAGAGTCTTGGAGAAAGCCAGGGAAGCTTAGTCCATCCTAGAGCTTTTTTGCTATGCACAGACTTCTCTGCACCCCTAGTGGCTGCAGCCAGAACTACATCTTAAAAATGAAAGGGAAGATACTACAATGCTGGGTTCGAGGGCCCCCTTCAAAGGCGAAGAAGAAGAAGAGTTGGATTTATACCCCACCTTTCCCTCAGGGTCTCAGAGCGACTTACAAAGCCTTCCTTTCCTCTCCCCACAACAGACACCCTGTGAGGTAGGTGGGGCTGAGAGAGCTCTGAGAGAGCTCTGAGAGAACTGTTCTTGAGAGAACAGCTCTGAGAAAACTGTGACTGACCCAAGATCACCTGGCTGGCTGCATGTGGAGGAGTGGGGAATCAAACCTGGTTCTGCAGATTAGACTCCACCGCTTTTAACCACTACACCAAACTGGCTCAGGGAGGAAAGCACCCCCAGCACCCCCTTGGGATGCCACTGCCAAGAAGAGGGCTGCATCAGGATTAAACTGGAAAGGAGGGTTGAGGGTTTCATCAGTAATTGCTATGACTTCAAGTCATGTGTCCAAGTAATTGAGCAACTTGGTAAATTTCACAGAAAAGGTATGCAAAGGATTACATACTAACGAAGCATGAAACACTCCACTTAAATATATAAAAACTAATTGTAGTAATTGTTGTATTTCAGGCAAACTACTTTTCCAAATTGTCAAAACCTCCAGTAATATGCAGATTAGTTGGGAAGAAGGTGCTGGATGGGACTGGTCATCCAACTTTAGAAGTGGAAGTGTCTTGCCAAGTTAAGAACTGTGATAAGGTATGAGCTGCAGTTTGCTTCATTACAGTCCAAATCAGGGATGTTTAGCTGGTGACCTGTGTGGAATATGTAGCCTCACAAATAATTTATTCAGTGGGCTATGTGAACTGATAGGAATCGCTATGAAAAGTGCCATTAAATTTTTTTTTAAAAAAATATTGTGTGCAATAAATTGTTTCATTTTGAATTTTTTAATGTTCACTTTTAGCAGTATTAAAAATAATTATTTCAATTTTTTTCTTTTCTAGATTGAAACACATTTTCAGTGGATGTTAATATGGTGGAATAATACTTTACACAATACTATTATTTTTATTGATCCAGAGCTCCAGCAGCAGTGGGCTATGGGCCACATTTATTTAATTATTAAGTATTTCTTCACCATCTTGCTACCCACTGGGGACTCAAAGGGGCTTACAAGAAATGCAAATATATGATGTAGGCAAACAGTACCATTCCAACATCTGGAGTTGCTACTGGATCCACCAGCCTGACCCATTGAGGGTCGCAGGCTATGAGCCCTTTGCCTCTACCTCGTTCTGTGTTTCTCCTATCTTCTAAGTTGGTTGCCTGTGAGAATCAACAATTTAGAAAACTTTACAAAAGCTTCTGTCTCCTGCTGTATTCTTGTTCGTGGATGGGAAAATGCTTGTTGTTGGTTTTACAATGCTAACTGCTGAAATGTCTTCATTTAGAATCTTAGAACAAGAATACACTGCATAAACAACGCAGACAAAATAGCGCACAAAAATATAATTCACATTAGTAACAAGTGTAGAAACTTTGTGTATGATCTTAGGTTTTTTTCTTCATGCTACACCAGACAAGTCATCTATCTTTTAAAATGTACCTGTCAATCCCTCTATGTTGGGATGTCAATTGGAACAATCAGAACACGTATAGTTGAACATAAGTCTTGTATCAGAAACTTACGCTTAGAATCTCCTCTTGTTCAGCATTTTGTCGATAAAAAACATTCTCCTGATTGTTTTAAATTTGTAATATTGGAAGTCCTTAAGACCCATCAATATAATTGTATAGATGTTTAAAGAATGCTGCGGCAGCGTGAAGCTTTTTGGATCTTCCATCTCAGGATCTATCATCCATATGGCCTCAACCAGTCTTTAGAACTAAGTTGTTACTTATGAGTAAAATGTTCTTCGGCTTTTAGTCAATGTTACTTTAAAAATCCACTTGCTATGATGCCTTATTAGCTGTTAGCTTTAGTATATATATCAATAGGTTTGGTGACCACACCTTGAGGCGTGCCGACAGTGTAAGAATAAGCTCTGCCACAGATTGGTTGCCCATTTTTGATTGTCTACATAAACAGATTGGTGAGGAGCAGGACTCCTTAGTAGAGTCTATTATTATTAATATTTGGAATTTTACAATATTCCTTTTCAAACTAGATCATCATGTAAGCAATTTTCTCCTTTAGGCGATTTAGCCTGTACATAATTCTTGGAGGCTTCTATATATTAAGCACTTGATGCAGGTACTTGTTAACTTTAAATATGAATGTATGTTTGTAATTTTTAGAGTATAATAATCAATTGACCTATTTTCAGCTTTCTGAGGAAGAATCATCAAAACAAAGAGTGAAATCCGGAACCCTCGTCTCTTACTCTGTGTCTTACTCTAGTGTTATTGTTGTAGTCTGTAATTACATACTGGTTCTTGTAACCATTTTTGTAAACTGATTTTGTCTGCGTTGTTTATGCAGTGTATTCTTGTTCTATGATCATATTGTACTGCGATATCACTGTTGTTTATTCATTTAGAATCTCACATTGACTATATCTGAGCACATGAATCCCGGTTTGCATCTTAGTATCTGAGCACATGAATTCCAGTCTGCATCCTAATCTGCTTCCAGACTAAATTTGTTTTTTTATTTTGTACTGATACATGTATCCTGGCCTGCATAGCTCAGGCTAGCCAGATCTCATCAGTACTTGGTTAGTACTTGGATGGGAGACCACCAATGAAGTCCAGGGTTACTATGCAGAGGTAGGCAATGGCAAACCATCTCTGAACATCTCTTGCCTTGAAAACCATATGGTGGCATAAATCAGCTACAACGTGATGGCACTTTCCACCATTGTACGTGTACCTTTTCCCCCTTTTCACTGTGTCCTTTGATAAGTATCAGTTTCTCAGTTTCTTGATAAGTATACCATATTTTATCAAGGTCACTTTGAATTTTAAGTAGGTGTCTTTCATTTACATACATTAAATGCCATCTCTTTCCATCATTCAAGTGATTGTTGTTTGTAAAAGCATTCAGCCATGAGCCTAATGTGATAGTACTTTTAAATTCTCATTTCTCCTGTTTGTGAAAACATCAAGCACAACTTTGGTGAAGACATTAAAGGAATCATCCCTTTTTATTCTTTAAAATGGTCCCATCTCTCTTTTGCTTCTCCCTTCTTTCTCTTGCCCTAATCTTTCTTTACCCTTTGTCCTCTTTGCTATACTTTTCCTGATGTTTGATAGTACAAAAAAGAGAAATAAGCATTTAAAAACAAAATTATTATTTTCTTGTATATAACAACACAAAGAGAAGGTAGAATATATAGGACTGTTTGTATCCCCCTTTCTCTCCTTTGAAGTTAGGAAAACCTTCCTTTACCTGCTGTAGCTTTACCTAATAAAATTTCTCCTGTATTACATATGCCAGCACAGTCTGCACCTCAGTAAGAATGAATGCCTTACAGTGGGAGACTGTCTTTGACATGTTGAAAAACAGGTATTCAGGTTCATTTACAAAAAAACCAAAAAGACAAATAATCCAGTATAGTCTTTGGACATTGGCATTATTTAGAAGTTTACATAAACACCAGTGTTTATGCCAACAAATAGGAATGTCAGCTAAACAGAGTACAAACAATAAATTATGTTGAAGTAGCTGGATTCACTGTAGTAATTTCTTGAATATCTTGGTGAAAGACTTGAAGTGTGAAGAGTTCATTACGTTTGTTAGTGGAAGCAAAAATGTACATCAATAACAAAGCTTAAATAAGCCCTTAGCAGAAAATAATTTCAATGTCATATTTATTATGTGAAATTTCAATAGTGACCTTATCTTTAAATAATGTTCTGCAGACCATTTGTTCCAGCATGATTTCTTCTCATGCTGAAATTCTTGAGAATGCTTCCCCAGAAGTAGTGGATGCTGATGAAAAGGAAAGACATGAATCAGTAGATATAGCAGTTACATGGATAGATGACTCATTGAATGAATTGCTCGAAGGCCTTCAGCCTACTGACCAGTATAAAGTTGATGAGCTGCTAGGGTATGTCTCTATTTATTTTGCTTATCACCTAGTGATTTAATGTTTTTAAGTATAAGCATTCACACCTCAATCCTAAACCTCAGATGCCAGCATGACACTGATACTGCCATGGCATCAAGGTATCTAGTTGTATTCTGTGGTGTAGTTTGGTGTAGTGGTTAAGTGCGCGGACTCTAATCTGGGAGAACCGGGTTTGATTCCCCGCTCCTCCACTTACACTAGGCTGGATGACCTTGGGCAAGCCGTAGTTCTGATAAGAGCTGTTCTTGAAAAGGGGCAGTTTCTGTCAAGAGCTCTCTTAGCCCCACCTACCTTACAGGGTGTCTGTTGTGGGGAGGGGAAGGGAAAGGAGTTTGTAAGCTGCTCTGAGACACCTTTGGGTAGTGAAGGGCGGGGTATAAATCCAATCTCTTCTTCTCAGCAGGGAAAAGAAATGGCAGAAAAGACACAAACCCAAGGAACTGTGGTCCAAACTGCACATTACATCTATCACGACTCTGTGGGAACTCAATTTAGAAGAGCCATTGAAGCCTGATTCTGGTCATGACCATGGAATGGGGTGAAGAGGGGCTCTTGCTTCCCACCACTGTTGTTATCCCAACCTGAAATAGTCTGTGAGCGTTATTTTCTTTGCCTGGGGGCTGAATGTGCTGGTTCCAGCCCGATAGGTGTTTACTTAACAGAATCTCAGACACAACTTACATCTCACACAGTCAGATCCAATCACATCATGGTGAGTGGCTGCCATAGACTCCAGTCATTTTGCTTAGTACTTTAGCATCACAAGCTTCCTTTATAATATGACATGTTAACATCAAAGTTCAGAAAACATTGCACACAATTTGTTGCAGAGTCAGTTGGACAAACGTAACTTAAGAGTTTGCTTGAAGGGCCTTGATTAGGTCATTAATTGGCTAAAATTTATTACTGACTGATATCGCCTCACCATATTTTTTTAATCAATACAGCTTGATGGTACAGCCAACCAAGAAAACCTATGCAGTGACCTGGAAAAGTGGGTGCTTATCTGGCAATGGTAGTGGTGGGCTGAGATCGTTTGTCAAAAAGTACTCAAACCAAGGACAGCACCTTGGAACCAGCACATTCAGCCCCCAGTTGTAGTAGATAACTCAAAATGTACAGTGTACAGTGTACAACTGCAGTAAAAAAGGCCAACACTATGCTGGGGATTATTAGGAAGGGCATTGAAAACAAATCAGCCAGTATCATAATGCTCCTGTATAAATCAATGGTGCGACCTCATTTGGAGTACTGTGTACAGTTCTGGTCACCACACCTCAAAAAGGATATTATAGCATTGGGAAAAGAGCAACTAGAATGATAAAAGGGTTGGAACACTTTCCCTATGAAGAAAGGTTAAAACGCTTGGGGCTCTTTAGGTTGGAGAAACGACGGCTGAGGGGTGACATGATCGAGGTTTATAAGTTTATGCATGTGATAGAGCAGGTCGAGAAAGAAGTACTTTTCTCCCTTTCTCACAATACAAGAACTCGTGGGCACTCAATGAAATTGCTGAGCAGTTGGGTTAGAACGGATAAAAGGAAATACTTCTTCAACCAAAGAGTGATTAACATATGGAATTCACTGCCACAGGAGGTGGCGGCGGCTACAAGCATGGACAGCTTCAAGAGGGAATTAGATAAGCATATGGAGCACAAGTCTATCAGTAGCTATTAGCCACAAGGTATAGTTAGGAACTCTCAGGCTGGGGCAAGTGATGCTCTTGTCTTCTTGGTGCTTGGGGGGGGGGCAGCAGTGGGAGGGCTTCTACTGTCCTGGCCCCACTGCTGGACCTCCTGATGGCATCTGGTATTTTTGGCCACTGTGTAACAGAGTGTTGGACTAGATGGGCCATTGGCCTGATCCAACATTGGCTTCTCTTGGGTTCTTATGTTCTTACCACTGACAATGTTTGAACTGTGCTTGGGATTTTCATTTGTGCTTCCTTCATGCATTGGGTCCGGGACCACTATCTGTTTTTTAAACGAAATAAACTTTCCTACCATCATGTTACCTTTCAAATGGGGCCAATCATGTAATGGAAACATATTATTTATAGCTGTAAGGTTGAAACAATTGCACTGGTACTCTAATGTTATTCCCAGTCACTCTTTCGTGGGCCAGGAGTTCTCCTGTCCCTGATTTTATAGAGTCTGAGGTTTGTAATATTATGAAGCAACCAGTCATTCTGCCATTTCCTTTTACTATAGTGAATATTTCACAAAGAAAGCTGAGGAAGAAGAAGAAGAAAGAAGGGAAGCTGAAAAGGAAAAAGAAAAAGAGAAAGAAACCCAGGAAATAATGTTTCCTCCTCCACCACCTGTTACAGCACCATCTGGAAAAAAGAAACAAGCGAAGCTAGGTTTGTTTGATTAAAGATGACACTGTCTCTTTTAGGAAGATGGTACCACAACAACATTTTCCCCATTCTTTTGGAGACATGTTTGTAGAGGGTAAAACTAGAGATCTGAGCAGCCCAGACCCTGCTTCTGCTTCCACTTGTATGCCTGTGTTTCACATCATATTGCAAACCTGGGCTTCATGATCTCAAGCTGAGATAGTCTGATTCCCCTTGCTTGTCTTGATTGCTCTGCTTATGCCAGTAGTACTTAAGGATATTGCAGTGCATTCCTAAGAACACTTTTCTGGGAATAAGCCCAATTGACGTAGGATTGGTCTACTCAGACTCCTACTCAGGTCTGTTTAGTGGCACTTACTCCCAGCAAAGTATTCTTAGGGTGGCACTGTTAATCATGGAAACAAATTCTTGTGGGAGACAATGCAAAAAGATTGGTGGTGCATAACACATTCATTGTAACATGAGGTTTTGTGGGGTTGAACCCACTTTTTCAGATGCTACTACAAGAAAGGTTTTAATCTTAAAGTCACCACAAGCTTTTATTTTTTTTTAGTCATGGAAGAGCCCATGGAGAGCAAGTAGAGGAATCACATAGGTTTAACAACCACATGAGCACCTGTACATTGCTCTTATGTTGCAGCTGGAATATATGAGTGTTTGCCTTGTAATTCCTTTGCCCAATTCTACAGTAAAGATTACCAAACTCTGCCAGGCTGATTTTAATTGTCAGAAGTGGCAGCTGGTACCGGAAGGCAAAATGGTAATGGTGCTGGCATTAAACACTCCTGGCTCTAGAAATAAGAACATCTCTGCTGAATCAGACCAATGGTTCCTTGGAAGGCCTGCCCCTGTTGTTGTTCTTAAGAAACTGAAATTCACAGCTATACTGCCTTTGGAGGTTCCGTGCAGCCATTACAGCTAACAATAATTCATGTATCTATCCTCAGTATATTTGTCCAATCTACTTTTAAAGCCATCAAAGCTAATGGCTCTCAGTGCATCCTATGTCAGTGAGTACCATAAGTTTATTGTTTATTGAGTAAAGAAGTATGTACTGCCCATCAACTTCATTGGATGCCTCTGAGTTCAAGTATTATGGGACAGATAAAAAGTTATAAGTATAATGTGTCTTCAATAATTTACTTAGAAATTACATTAGAATAACTGGTTTTTAAAGACCAGCATTATGTTTGCTACTTTCTGGTCCTCTGGTAGGGATTCCAGTTTTAGTGATGTTGCATAATATTGTTAGGAGATCAACATTTTCATATGAGTTCTTGAGGAACCCTTGGGTATATGTCCTCTAAACTGAGTTACTTGTAATTTTTTAATTTGTTAGTAAGCCCTAGAAAATTTCATCTTCTGTCACCTCTGTTTGACTCAGTTAATTAGACACCTTCCCCGCAACCAGCGGTTCTGGTACAGGTAGCTGATCCACATCTTCCAGACAGAGGCAAAAAATTAATTCAGCTTCTCTGTGATCTCTGTCTAATAGCTCAGCTGCCTGGTAATTCCCTGCTTTCTAATGCATTAAAGAAAATCTTATTGTTTGTGAAATTGCTAGCGCTTGTGTTCCTTATTCTCATTTTGACAAGACTTCCACTTTTTAAAGAAAGCCTTATAGCCTCTTAAGGCTTCCTTGATGATGTTTCATTAACCATGTGGACGATGTCCTTTTTATTATAATGGTATCCAAGCTATTATTATTGTGGATTTAAATAATTTTCAAACATTCTGAATTGATTTCATTCCTCCTTTCAGCTTCCTTTTGCTGAATCTCTTCATTTTGAGGTTTCCTTTTCTGAAGTCAAATATTGCCCTATTGAACTTCTTGGGCAACTTTCCATTTATACAATACTGAAAAATAGCACCATGGTCACTATGTTGCACTGCGTGTCTGAAGCACTCTTTCAGCAACACCAGCCACCAGGACTTTTCCAGCCACTCCAGTGGAGGTTCTATATAGCACCACACTAACGCAGACCAGTGGTATACTATATACAGGTTTATTAACACTATGTACACTCCACCAACAAAGTGCTCCGCCATACACCATGAGTACAAAAGAAGAAGGAATACAGAGCTGGAACATGTCCACATATATACAGATCATAACCAATCAGCTTCATGCTGAGTCATAATGACTGGCCTTGCTTCAGTTCCAGTCAGAACCGGTTGTGTTATCTACAGCTTGTCAGCTGTCACCTTAGATCCTGCAGATCTGAGTGCTGAAGATTAACTACCAACACACTATTCCCAGTTGGTTCAACAATATCATACCTGGACACCCCTCAGAACTCAGGACCATGTCCAGGGTTGTCTCCTTTCTAGTTAGCTCCATGATCAGCTGTCATGCACAGTAATTTCTAGTACATAAACATTTTGTCTTTTTGTCATGTCATGGTGTTAACTTACATAGTTTTATGTTCAGGTGGGTAGCCGTGTTGGTCTGAAGTAGCAGAACAAAGTTTGAGTTCAGTGGCACCTTTAAGACCAACAAAGTTTTATTCAAGGTATGAGCTTTCGTGTGTATGCAGACTTCATCAGATACAATGAAATGGAAGTTACCAGTCCATGCATATAGGTAGAGGGTGAGCAGTAAATTGGCATACAACATAAGGAAGATTATACCTTGAATAAGCTTATACCTTGAATAAAATGAAATCTTATAACTTGAATAAAACTTTGTTGGTCTTAGAGGTGCCACTGGACTCAAACTGTATTCTATAGTTATGGTGACCTTTTATTACAATGCTTTCAACTTTTTTTACCTTTCTTATTTCATTCTCCATTTCAAGATCAGAGTTCTAGTCAGATGACCAATAATTTGTTTCCAAAATTTCCACTTGTAGCAATTCTGTGGGAAAGTTTATTTCTTCTAAAAAAAATTTTAACTGAATTTATTGAACCCTATCCCCTCTCCAAAATATGTAGGAATGCCACCCCTGATACGTCCTAAAACGTCTGAAATGGCCACTATATTTGGATTACTGTTTATCATCATGAACTCCAGCTGCACCATCATGCTCTGGAGGTTTTTATAGCATTTGCTAATAAACATCTATTTTGAGATGCGGCAGTGAGTGCCACCCAAAAATGAAGCAGAGCCGAATCCAAAATGGTTGCTGCAGGGGCCAGAGTCAAACAGAATATCACTTTCCTTGCTTTGCAAAAGTATTTCATGACTGTAGTGATTGGGTAGGTTCATACAGGAGTGGGTGTTCCTTAAGTTATGTTTGTCCCAAACCATATAGGGCTTTAAAGGTCAATATTAGCACCTTGAATTGAGTCTGGAAGCTGATTGGGAGCCAACATAGGAGGCTCAATATTGGAGTGATATGATCCCTATGACCCACTCCAGTCAGCATTCTGGCTGCAACGGCCAGCATAGCTTTTGAACACTCTTCAAGGGCAGCCCTAAGTGGAACACCTTGCTGTAGTCTACCAGGGATGTACCACAGTGCCAAGATTTTTTTTAGTCCAGGAAAGCCCACTGGTGAAAAGCAATTCTGGCCACCACTGCCACCTGCTTATCTAACAGGAGACCCATGCCTAGCAGCTCCTTTAGAGGGAGCTCAATCACATCCAGAACAGAAGATCCCCTCATTTCCTGGGTCAATCCTTCTGCCAGCAGTAGCTCCACTGTTTTCTCAGGATTAAGTTCAAAAGCTAAGGAGTTTTATTTAAAAATGTAAAAGGGGGTTATTTTTTAAAAATGAAGTTATTCTCTATCGTCATGAGGTAAAAGGAAAAGATTCTTGTATTTTGGCTTCCTAACCAAGTTTCTGAATTCACACAGGTGCTTAACTGGCTTGTCTCTTATTTTTTCCAGATATTTTGTCACTAGTGCTGTAATGTATCATTGTGGATGCTCTCTCATGCTTGTTTAGCCAGTAGCTAGGGAGCAGTTTGGTGCAAGAGTGCTGAGTGAGGGGAGCAACATTGCCAAAATGGAACTTGTATTGATTTCTTTATATTATGATCATATAGTTTAATTTTAGTAATTAATTTATTGGTGGTGGCGGCAGAGAATGCTGTCATGTCATAGCCAACTTATGGCAACCAAATATAAAGTGAAAATACTTGGTTATTGCAATTGAAGAGCCTCAGTTGAAGCATGAAGTGTTGATCCACCAAGAGGAGAACTTGCCGTTTTATGGAGCATTAAATTGATTTCTGAGGGTTTTTGGAGAATACATCCTGTTCATACTCCTTTGCTCTGTACTCGATTCCTCATTCATTTTTCTCTTTAACTGTGTATTCTGGACCTAAGGAAGGTTATCTCTCTGATGTGCTTCAAATTAAAGCCGTCTTTAGTTGGGTCTCTAGATAGTGTTCCATAGTTGCACTTGGCAACGTTTATGCTCTGTTCAAGAGTGCTGTTAAGTGCTTGGATTAAAGGTCAGATTTTCAAAGGTGCTCAGCACCCACAACTAGTGTCAGATTTTCAAAAGATACTGGCTCCTATTTGGGAATCAAAGCAAACCATTGTATGATAAGGATTTGAGGACATAAATGTCACAGTGGGAGTTGATGATTGCTAAATTCTTTGCTATAAAAATCTAGCCATTATAAAGGTGGCTAAATGGGAACAGAGTAATTTTCAAAATCTACCTTGGATTTTGAGTTTTGTGCACTTAAAGAGTCATTTGGAAAGTCTGGATCTAAGGATGCTGTTAGAACTTAGAAGATAAGGGACATAATGCCAAAAAATCAGGAAGAGAAAGGGAAAGTTACAGTTCTTAGAACATATCTTCAGTGCAGTTTGAAATATCAAACTATTGCATCTAAGAATATAAGAAGTTAAAGTTGAAATTGAAGGGCATTACTGTTAGAAAAGTAGTTAAAGAAAGTGTTATCATATATAAGGACTTTTCAAACAGAATTAAGAAAGAAATCCTCAAAACATCTATTTCTGGACAGTTTCTTTAACCCCAACAGTATTTCTTCAGAATATGTAGATTATTATTTCTTAATTTCCTTTTAATTCACAGTATAAAGAATTAAATTGCCAACATTTTACTTGTACCTGTTTTGATAATGTAACAAGGTAATTTTAAAGCAAATACTCTTCTTATTCTCAGGGAAAAAGATTTCTGTTGTGGAAAATCCAATCCCACCAGCAGAACCTGCTGTTTTCAGTAATAAAGGGAAGCATGGCTATTGGGTGTGTATCTCTTGCTGTTGTGAAGGCTGCTGCAACTACTAGTGACATGCCTTTGTACTTACAGATTGCTTTAATGAAACACAATCAGGTATGTGTCAAGATTTTGGTCTTTTGCTCAGATTGTCACACGTTCCCAAACTCCCACTCAAGGGAGTTATATCATACAAATGGGTAGTAGGTTTACAGTTTGTAGGAATCTTTACTGTTAATGTATTTTAGATCAGTATCTTTTAGTGAATGTATTAAGCATTCTCAGTTCAGTTTTTTACCTTGAATGTCCACTTCCAGGATCTGTTCATCAGGGCCTTGCACTAGAGCCAGGATTCAATACTAGCCTTTTAGGCTGTTCCTTAAGCAAATGCTCTTTGTTCCTGCCATGTTAGGGTTGCTTCCATGGAATGGTGGGGATGTACGGCGGTCCCCTTGGGTTTTATCTTATGGTCCTTTAGGCTTCTAGGTAGTTGTAGCTGCCTGTGCCAACCAAATTTAATGGTCAAGAAGGTGATATGTGTTTGTAACAACTAATGTGGACCTTGTCCCCTGCTTTCCAGTCACAAATCCAGTAGTGCATATTTATCTACAAATATAAATAATCTTCCTTTCTTATTCTCATGATGCACAAGGCAATTCACGATAATTCCTAAAACCATTAGTGAAAGCATATTGGATTTTAATTACTGACTAAAATTTTGAATTCAATAGATAAGAATTAGAAAAGAACAATTTAAAACAATACTGCTAGTAAAAAAGAACAATTTAAAACAATACTGCTAGTAAAAACTAAAATCAACACAATAAATAGAAAAGCTATTTTGTTATACAAAAAACTGTTAATCTACAACTGTGAGCCCCAATTTCTTAATTAAGAAAAGGGATGTGATTTCTTATTAGAACATTTGTAAAACAGCACTAAAAATCCTGGGTTAGTTAATATTACTTTAAAAAGAGAAAAGATAATACATATGTATGTAAATATTATTACCAAAGAACACTAGCTAAGACAGTGACTAGTGTTTAAGCAATCTATTATTAAATGATCTTTTAAGTATATTAGAAACCAGTTAATCTTGATAAGGGAGTACTTTAGTCCAAGTAAAGGGTACCTGTGTCCTTGTCCTAGTTCAGCAGTGGAAAATTGTGTTCCATCAATATTCCTTACCTTGATGGAGTGACACACATTCAGACTTATGAAATCTCATTTACCAGAATAATTGGAATGGATATGGCTATACCTGTGGCCCATCATTAAAACCAGTAACACAATTACAAACATATAAGGATACAACATCTAGTCTTTATATAAGTGTACTAAAGATCTTGTATACATATGTTTGAATGTGTGTCTATAATAAGTTGTAATAGTAACCACTGAGGAAGGCCCTGTGAGGCCAAAACGCATTTGGTCTTCAGTTGGAAAGTGTTGACCCATCATGTGTATTAATATTTGATATGCTTTTATTAGTCTGATACTTGAAAAAAAATTTTAACACGAATATATTTTAATATATGTACACCCTAATAAATTTTGTACTTTTATAATTTACATGGTCAGCTTAACCCTTCTGGTTCGCAGTGTTATCTTGGGTTGTGTTTTCCCCTCCCCCCACTTTCCAGTTTCCATCAATATTCCTACCATAGCTATTCATCATACCTATGAATCTCAATATATATGCCAGCTTTAAGGAACTGAAGCATTTCCACACAATTTGATGGCATCTTAGATTTTTTTCTAAAACTGTATTAGCAACAAATTCATAAAAGGTAAAGGTAAAGGTTCCCTTGCTCGAAAGCCAGTTGAATCCGACTCTAGGGTTGCAGTGCTCATCTCCGTTTCAAAGCCGAAGAGCCAGCGCTGTCCGAAGACGTTTCCGTGGTCATGTGGCCGTCATGACTAAACACCAAGGCACACGGAACGCTGTTACCTTCCCACTGAAGTGGTACCTATTTATTCTACTTGCAATTTCTTGCTTTCGAACTGCTAGGTTGGCAGGAGCTGGAACTATAGATGGGAGCTCACTCCATCATGCGGCACCCGGGTCTTGAACTGCTGAACTACTGACCTTCCACAGCCTGCAGTTCAGCGTCTTAACCACTTGAGCCACCGCAGCTCCTTAACAAATTCATAGCCAGCTTTAAATTAATCAATAGTTCCAAATGTTGAACTTGTCTAATTCCTTTAAAACAACTTAATGAGATTACCAAGGGGCTCTATGGTCAAATTAAGACCCATTATTTCATTAATTTTCTGTACAGTGTGTTTCCAGCATCCATGTGCTTGGGGACATATCCACCAAATGTAGATCATCACCACTTTCCAATCTCTGTTTCTCTTTCATATTAATGAAATGATAGTATTTCTGAAAAGGTATGACTTCCTGTCTCTCTTGGTATTATATAGGGGAATTCCCCACTGTTAAATGTTTGAAGTATGTAGCTGTAAATTTTTGTATTCTCAATTAAAGATATCTGCAGTTTATTCAAAAAGGAGATCCATGCAGTAATCTCTGGGTTTAATTTCTTCTGACGTTTGTATCAAATTCTTATTATGGCTCTTACCACAATATCATTTCCATTTTAGGATCTGCCTGAGGAACTGATTATGCCATTGCCAATGATAACACTTTTGAGTTATGGAAAATCATCGCCTGGAAAACTAAATCTAATGAAAGAAGTGATGTTGATACCTCCAGCTTGGTTAACAGTTAAAAAAGTACTGTATGCTACTTTTTTTTTCACACTCAATACAATAGTAAAAAGTATTTGTCCATATTTTAACCACCTTGTAAGAAGTAACAACTGCTTATTTAGGCCACAGTCTGACACCCAACTTCCATATGCTTATACCTGTTGGCTTCAGCTGGAGTAAGACTGGACGACTGGGTATAGGACCATGGCTGTTTCTGTAACAAAACTATTGATCTACAAGTACAGTAGAGAAGCAGTCATTCTTATGTACAATAAAGCAAAGTTATAGTCTAATGGTACCTTTAAGACCAACAAAATTATATTCAGGGTGTGAACTTTTGTGTGCATGCACACTTTGTCAGACAATGAAATGTAATTACATATCATAGTTGTATATATAGGAATGGTTTCTTAAATTAGCATGCAAAATAGTGAGGGCACTTTTTTAACAGATCAAAAGAATGATTCATTCATTGATCTTCTAACATTGTATATGCCATTAAATGCCAGCATTGCCCTTTGGCTCTCTACATAGGACAAACAGGACAAACCCTACGCCAGAGGATAAATGGACACAAATCAGACATCAGGAATCACAAGACTGAGAAACCTGTAGGGGAACACTTCAACCTTCCAGGACATTCAATGGCTGACCTCAAAGTAGCTGTTTTATTGCAAAGGAACTTCAGGAACAGAATGGAAAGGGAAACAGCTACATTACAAGTTATTACAACACTTGGAACAAACACCCCGCCAGGACTTAACAGGGATATTGGTTTCTTATCCCATTATACATGCTAACTCATTCTATTCTCACATATGTATTCTCACTAAGAAGGGCTATACATCCCCTTCTTTATTTTCTTTTTTCTGTGATAGTATATTATAATAGTGATTGTAATGCAATGCAGTATCGTGTTGATCTCTGACATAACACTACCCCAAGAAAAGGTTTTTGTCAGTTAACTCCATGTTTTACTGAAGCAAAATATTATTACTACTCTTAGCATATAATTAAATATGTAATGTAATTTGGAATGGTAGATTTAAATGAAATTCTTTGTTTTGGGGACAAGGAAAACACTCTACACAGCCAAGGTGCTGTAAAATTCACCTCCATGCTTGAAAGGAGATGGATGGGGTCTAAGGGTAGGATTCTAAAAATTAGGGCACATCTATCTCCAGTTCTTACATATTTATTACCTATGTTGTTTTTTCCCCCCAGTTGAACCGAAACAGATGATAACCGGGAACTAACTTGTAATTCTTTTGATCTGTTAAAAAAAAGTTTTTTCACTACTTTGCATGCTAATTTAACAAACCACTCCTACATATACAACTATGATATGTAATTCCATTTCATCGTCTGATGAAATGTGCTTGCACACAAAAGCTCACATATTGAATAAAAATTTGTTGGTCTTAAAGGTGCCATTGGATTCTAACTTTGTTCTATTGCTTCAGACCAACATGGCTACCCACCTTGATTTATGTACAATAAGTTTCCAACAATTTCAACAGAGCTGATGCATGGGAAGTTCTAAGTGACATGGGGAAATGACGACAATAATGGAAAGATTTACCAGATTTGTCTCACAGTACAAATTTTATTTACACGAAATGGGATTTCATATTCAAAGTTGGTGAGTGGTATATTGAGTATATTGAAGAAACTCTGGAAAGATCCCCATGGTGTATTTCTGCTAATGAAAGAGGGGGTGACTTTCATCAGTGACTTTCCTACTGCAGATCTCCGACTTGAACCTCATGCTATTCCTGGGTTACCCTGGGTTTCCCTGTCCCCCACAAACAGCATTTCAGGAAGCATTTTTGAATGCAGTGAGAGGGGAGGGGAGGAAGTCCTGCTCTGCTGGTGAAAATGCTTTCTGTTAGCAGAGATTTACTGTGGAATCCAAGCATTCATGGCCTAGAATAATGTCTGTGAATGAAATGATTTTATAAGAAACTTTGAATGGGAACTGGATTTTTATAGATGCATAGTTTTCTAAGCAACCCTGCCAGATTAAACTGAGTTTTTTAAAAAGATGTATAAGTGCCATGCGTGTGTGCTATTACTCAAAGAACAAGCAAGAAAAATGAAGCAATAGGCCAGGTGAAAAACCGGTTAACATAGATATGGTCAGTACTTAAGACTATCAGCTTGCTGACCTTAGCATGGCTTCCTGTGCTTCTGTCCATGGTTCTGATGCCCTGCTGACTGAAACTCTTTGTTCACTTGTTTTCTGCCAGTCAGTATCTGAATCCATCTACTTATAGGACTTAAGTTATTCTCCATGTCATCTATTAGCACTGAACATATGCTTCTTTACAACTCCTTGTGCAATATGGAGCATATCCTTAATAGTAAATATTTGCAGTATAATAAGCATGGTAGTGACTTGCGAAAATAAAGACAAATATTTTTAAAATGAACTTTTTAATGGAAAAAATGCACTGGCTTGAAGAATTCTTCTAATTTTACAGAGTGTAGAAATGTCTCTGGATATTCACAAACAAATAATGAAGTTGCTGGAACCAGTAAGTAAAGGGGTAAGATAATATTTAATGATAAATGCACCCCTACCGATCTGTGGGAGAGGCCCTGCTGAAGACATCTCTGTTTAGGTTTTTTTTAAAGTCAGTTATCTGGAAGATCAAAACCTTTTCTGTGGCCAGCCCATAGAATTTCTTGCCAAATGAGGTCTGACAGAGCCATAGCTGGCAATTGTTTAAAAGACAAGCTGGAGGCCTGTAAGGAATTCCAAAAGAATAAACAGTTGGGAAATTCCCACGTGCACATCACAGTTGCTAAGACTGATGAGTTCATGGGCTAGATATCTGTAATTTGCTGCTCAACTCTGAATCACAACAGTTTTGTTCTGTAGTACAACTGCCCTTCTGATGTAGCCCTTAACATTAGTTTTACAGTGCATAACATGAGGTAACTTTTAGCTTTCCCTCCATTTGCTGTATAGGTCATTTAGAGGGTAGCAGAGATTTACTGTGGAATCCAAGCATTCATGGCCTAGAATAATGTCTGTGAATGAAATGATTTTATAAGAAACTTTGAATGGGAACTGGATTTTTATAGATGCATAGTTTTCTAAGCAACCCTGCCAGATTAAACTGAGTTTTTTAAAAAGATGTATAAGTGCCATGCGTGTGTGCTATTACTCAAAGAACAAGCAAGAAAAATGAAGCAATAGGCCAGGTGAAAAACCGGTTAACATAGATATGGTCAGTACTTAAGACTATCAGCTTGCTGACCTTAGCATGGCTTCCTGTGCTTCTGTCCATGGTTCTGATGCCCTGCTGACTGAAACTCTTTGTTCACTTGTTTTCTGCCAGTCAGTATCTGAATCCATCTACTTATAGGACTTAAGTTATTCTCCATGTCATCTATTAGCACTGAACATATGCTTCTTTACAACTCCTTGTGCAATATGGAGCATATCCTTAATAGTAAATATTTGCAGTATAATAAGCATGGTAGTGACTTGCGAAAATAAAGACAAATATTTTTAAAATGAACTTTTTAATGGAAAAAATGCACTGGCTTGAAGAATTCTTCTAATTTTACAGAGTGTAGAAATGTCTCTGGATATTCACAAACAAATAATGAAGTTGCTGGAACCAGTAAGTAAAGGGGTAAGATAATATTTAATGATAAATGCACCCCTACCGATCTGTGGGAGAGGCCCTGCTGAAGACATCTCTGTTTAGGTTTTTTTTAAAGTCAGTTATCTGGAAGATCAAAACCTTTTCTGTGGCCAGTCCATAGAATTTCTTGCCAAATGAGGTCTGACAGAGCCATAGCTGGCAATTGTTTAAAAGACAAGCTGGAGGCCTGCAAGGAATTCCAAGAGAATAAATAGTTGGGAAATTCCCACGTGCACATCACAGTTGCTAAGACTGATGAGTTCATGGGCTAGATATCTGTAATTTGCTGCTCAACTCTGAATCACAACAGTTTTGTTCTGTAGTACAACTGCCCTTCTGATGTAGTTGTACAGTGCATAACATGAGGTAACTTTTAGCTTTCCCTCCATTTGCTGTATAGGTCATTTAGAGGGTAGAAACTGGAGTTTGGGATTGTGCATTTCACCTCTCAACACATGGCATTTTCACACCACCACCACCACCACCCTGGTCCCATGATATTCTGTAGATTATTAGTGGCTCTGCTCCTTTCATAGTTTAAGGGGTAATTGGGCAGGATAATTTGGATCAGAAGAACTGCTTTTGGTCTGATCCCAATTAATCCTCCTTAACATACACTTGGAAGTTGACAGAGCACTTAAAAGTTTAGCATTCTGGACTGATAGGGAAGGAGAGGGAAATTAGCATCAGAGATGTGTACTTCAGCACACATTACCCAACTGTCTCTCTCTCTCTCTCTGGTACTATAAGTTGTCAAGCAAGCAAAAATTCCTCCCCACTTATATTTACTCCCCCCCTTTAACCAGTGTTCAAATTCCTTCAAAATTCCATGGTTCCTGGAGGTCAAGCCAGTGATGGCCAGGTTGTTTTTTTTAAAAAAAAAACAATTCTTCTAATTTCCAAACTAATATTTATCTGCATATCTGGGAAGTCCCCTAATTAGCCTTATTTTGCTGTCTTTCTGCTAGAAAACTTGATGGCCACATGCTTGCTTACTAGCAGGAGTGATGTTAGATGTTCTCTTTAAAGAGGCTTTTGGAGATGGCTTTGTGATATTATACTGTACTTCATTACACATGCAGGGAATAATTTCTGCAAAAACAATGATGGTATTTCTCATGTTGAGAGTGGGAAAATCTGTTGTATACTGGCAATTAAAAATGTCTTTATTGCTCAGTTTTCTGTTGAACTGTACATAAAGTAATTATGTCTGCATTTTTCTCAGTGCTCTCTTACATAATGTTCTTAATGCTTTTCATCCAAAATATAGTTAGCTATTTTTAAAAATACTTATGGCTTTCCTAACAATTTCTTAACTTTTACAGCAACCCAGTCCTTCAGCGGAAAGTAAAAAGTCTGCGCGAGATGCAGGGAAAAAAGCTCCTGTAAGAAAAAAAACTAATGTACTCTTACCACATAGGACAGTTAATGGATCATAAATTGATAGATTTATTGGCCAAGTAATATATTGGCATGTATCAGTATATCTAATTCGCAGCATGGTCTAATATGTAGATACTTAAATCCAGATACTGGAGCCATGAATAGATGAGACAGATCTTTCTACAAACATGAAGAAGCTCCAGATTTGCATAAGAATCTGAAATCTAAAAAAATGAGGATTAGCCACCACCCCCAATAATAAAAGTAGCACCTGTAGCTGTAAGAAGCAAATGCCCTTAGTGAGTCTTGCTCAGCAACCAGAACAGTATTACCAGCCTTCAAGCCTTGATTTCTGTAGTAAAAGACAGGGAGAGGGGCAGGACACTTTCCAGAGCTGTTTTGTCCTCTGAGGAAGGACTCATTGAGGCCCAGCAGCAACCACCAGGCAACTTGCTACCTTGCAACTTGCATGACCCACCTAGGCCAAACCTTTTGCTACTGTTCAACAGCAGCCACCCCCAAAGCCAGTGCTGTGTAGTAATTAGAACTTCAGATTAGGATCTGGGACACCGACTCTGCTATGGAAGCTCACTTGGGTTACCTTGGGTCAGTCACACACACACAACCGAATCTACGTTACAGGATAGTGGTGAGGATAAAATGGGGGAGAGGTGAATTATTTAAGCCACTTTGGGTCCCCACTGTGGAGAAAGTAAATAAATATAGCTGAAGATGGAGGACAGATAAAAGTTTGGTTGTTGGGTAGGAAGGAGAAAGGGAAGTAGGGTTACTGTATTGCATTGATGAAACTAAAAAAAGGAAGTAACACTTTGTTCATGAGCCATCAGACTTCAAATACTTTGTCCCTGTTTGGCATCATTAACAGCACTTCATTCCGTTAAGTGGACTTGCCAGTCTGATTACCTTCAAGCTGCACTTGTCACTGCTTCTATACTTATGGGGTAGGATGTTCTGAAACCAGAACTGTTTTGGTAAGGGAAATCTATGCAGGTGCCAGCATAGTGATTAAAGTGGTTGTGCTGATGTGTTCCTTAGATCCTGTTGCTTAGTGTAGATAGCCTGTAATGTTCTAGAGACACTTGGTGTGGAGTACATCAGCTGAGTTCAGTCATGTCATCAAAAGCAGACTATCCATGATAATTTATATACTGGGTTTCTAATTACTGATATTTGGTATATGACATGGAGAAAAAAGTTTATGTATAGATGGAAAAATGAGTTTAAAAAGAAGTGGATTAAAATTTACTGTGTTTCTATGTGCATGTACATGCATATGTACAGCCTTTCAGGGAGAAAGGTGGAATGTAAATGTTTCAGTAAATAAAATATTAGTTGTATCTTAGCAGCTATGAATATGAGGTAGCACACATAAAGTTATACCTTATACCAAGTTAGACCATGGATCTATAAAGGTCAGTATTGTTTACTCTGACTGGCAGTGGCTTTCTAGGATCTTAAGTGGAGGTCTTTCATGTTACTCACTTCTTAATCCTTTTTTAACTGGAAGTACCATGAGTTGAATCTGGGACTTCCTTCATGCAAAGCAGATGTTCTACTACTGAACCACAGCCTCTCCTTGTAGATTCAAGCCTTACTCAGTGATTGCTTCTTCCACATCCATATCTCAGCTGGGAACTTTACTGAAGCTTGCTAGCTTCATGTGCACTTTGATAAATTTTATGCAACTGATACACAGAAAAAGTAATATCTTATCATGAAATTATCTATAAAACAATTATTTGGGGAATAAATCTCCAGTTGACAGTTTTGTAGTACAATGTGGTACTCATACAATGTGCAAGGATTCTGATAGCAGAATAATGCTGGGATTTGTACTGAAGTTGGCAGTTCTCTTGTACATGAATGCATGTATATTTCTAGCAATATTATTTTTATTTATTTCCAGCCACCTGTTTTTAAAAAAATGTCTCACTTGGGCTGCATAGTAACAGGGAGTGAAACTCTTGAACAACCGCTGACCTTGATTCAAATGGCTTGCACGAATATTGGCTTGGAATTAGGAATAGATCTGTATTTAGGAATGAATTGTGCTGCTCATGAACTAATGGACTATGTAAGTCTTATTTTCAGTATTCTGATATCTTACTCTCTTTCTTCTGATCAGTTGCCCTTACTCTCTTTCTTCTGATCAGTTGCCTTTCCTTTTTCTAAGTAAGTATGTGTCAGGTGGCTGTGCACTGTAAACAGGAATAGTAAGGAAGACAAATCACTTTATTCACACAAATGGCTCATGATGCCATCATGATCCCAGTGTCTTCCTTAAACCTGAGTCTCATACTTAACTCTTAAAAACAAGATGGGTTAGTCTCAATTTTGATAGTATTTTACTTTACCAATACATGGGTTTTTTTTAAATTCTAGAATAAGGGGAAATATGAAGTATTGTCTGGAACACTCAAGAACCCTGATGAAATGGTGGATATGTATGTGAACCTGATTCATAAATTCCCCTATATTATAGCATTGATTGATCCTTTGAGGAAAGAGGTAAGAGCCTTTAAAAAAAAAAAATTCTAGTTCTTAAGCAAGCCCTTAAAATGAAAGACTTGGAAGATGCTTCAACTTTAAAAGTAATACTTTGTAAAAGAAAATAAGGCCCCGGTCACATGGCAAAGTTGCCGCGGGAGAGGCACAGGAGTCCCACGGATTTTCCGGGCATGATCTCACCCCAACATCTGGGAAGCGCAGTGCTCCCGTGGCGAACCTGTGGCTCCCCGCCGAAGGTGCGGAGTTAAAAACTAGTACCTACAAGGTACTAGTTTCCTGAAACCGCGGGCCAAGGGCGGGCGGCTGATCGCGTTCCCGGTGGACTTACGTGGCATCCGGCGCCCGCCGCTGTTCGTCTCCGCAGGTTGCGCAACAGCGCCCAACAGCACATGTGCACAAAGAGTGATGCGGCTTCTGTGCTGCGCTGCAGGATACCCGTCTGATCGGCTATCAGGTCGTACAGACCTTGTGGGTTCGCTTCAGCTTGCCAAGTAACAATACAACCACAGACGCAGCTCCCAGCAGCAGGGAAAATATTTGTTAAAAACAGTTCATTTAATAAACAAAACAGTCTTTACACTCCTGGGCTGTATGCAGAGCAGAAAACAGCCCTCGTTGAAGCTGTTGGCAATAAAATAGGTAACTCACAAAAATAAAATGATCATTCATAAAAGAAAGCTGCAGCTCTTTTCCCAATCGTTCCTGGTAGCACGTTGCATAACCGAGTCAGCCTGGGAAGGCCATCTGGGCCATCTTCCAGGACTATCCCTCAGATCCCCGCCAAACAAACTGTGGTGCGCCCTGTAAGAAGCATATCTTATCTGCTGAAACTCCCTTTAGATAAAAAAACCTTTCAGCTGCTGGTGATTACCACAGCGCGCAGCCTCCCTCCCTAAAGGTATAATCCTGCCCAAACTTACACTCTTTTCTGATCACTGGGGCTTAGCAATTTGTAACCTCATTTCTCTCGTCCCTTACATCGGCATTTTCCCCGAGCCACGGGACCTTGACCGGGACGTGTGCTCGGGCCAGCCACACGTTAGTTTCCTCTGGGGCATTTAGCCACGCCTTCCCCCCGTGATATCCTGCCCGTGTGACCGGGGGCCTTAGATAACTAAATTGTTTAAAAACAAGTTCAAAAGCCACAGTGTTGTGGAAACTTGCTTCAGCAGTGTCACCTTCACTTGACTGAAGAACTGCCCTAGTAGCTGTAGCTTTTTACTAGCTTTGGATCTAAATTAGAAGAAAAAAAAGTCATCTTACTTTTCACCTATGATACACCATTCATTCTGGTACAAAGGAACATTTTCGCTTCAGTCAGGCTCCTGATAACTGGCTTTAAGAAGGGAGATGAGAAATGATGAGAACCACACAGGCTGCACTGGTTCCACAACTTCTGCAGTCTCTCTCCCCTGCCCCCCCCCAATACTCTTTCAAGAAAGACTAAGGGGGATGAGTAAGGAAAAAGTAACCTAGTTGTAGTCTTTCCAGGATTGGCCTACTTGTTACCCAAAGAGGCAGTCTCCTAATTAGTTGGGGGAATTGGCTTAAAGGAAATAGAGCAAGAGGGGGTAACTGGGATTCTCCACCTATGTTTATGGGGATTTTTCCCTTAAGAGAACTCTCAAAATAAACCAGGTAGATGTTCAACTGGGAAGGTTTTTATTAAAAGGAAAGAATAAAACAAAAATGTACACAACAACACACACACACAGGGCTAGCTAAGGAAAAGCAGGGTGGAAATGGGAAAAGTGATTTCAGGGGAGGGCTATAATTACCAGTCTTGGAGGCAAGAGGTCCGCGGAGGCAGCAGCAAAATTACCAGTGTTTCATGGAGAGAAGGAGAGAGGACACAACAGATTGGAGGTGTGGATATTAATCCAAGGACACACACACCCTGCTATGGAGCATGGTGCCACAATTATAAGGGAAAACGGACCCTCAGGCTGGGGTGATGTGATCCCAAAACCATAACTTGATGGGCTTATCCGGGATGGACAATGATTTGGAAGAGTCTTGATGACCCTGTAAGTACCAGACAGGAGAGCGGAAGAGTCTTGATGACCCTGTAAGTACCAGGCAGGAGAGCTAATGGGTTTGGTGAATAGAACTGAGAGTTGATTAAGTCTCTCTTAATTAGGGTAAGTAGGTGCAGAGGAAGTGAGGTCAGACTTGATGAGATTAGTCCAAGGGTGAGTCAATAGGTTTTGGGAGACCCATCATCCTACAGTTTTGCATCTCTCCGGGATATGGAGGGGGCCATTAGTCAGCCACTCTGACTCACCTTCCGAAATACTTTCCTGGGCTCTTACCTGGTTGGCATCCATTTTGTTCCATTTTAGGCCAGGCAGTGCCTTGCACTATGATTTTTGAGATGACTTTTTTAGAAGGTGTTTCTGCCTCTCTAAGCTATAAAGTGCCTCTCTGCGAAAGGAGGGGTCAGACTGCTAACGTACTGGTCAATTGAGTTGCCAGTGGTTGCTGTAAAATGAGATGAATGCTTAGAAGGGGCATTATGGTAATTCTGGGAGGACAACGTGGCTGAAATTTTTGCATACCTAAGAGGAGGGAATTACTAAATTGTGGGGCAGCTATGAAAATAGCTTACGTTGGGGAGGTTTTCTGTCAGTCATTCTCAGTAATTTCAATGGAAATGTGAGGGAGTGAGTAGAAATGTATTGCTTACTACTTACTGGCAAGACTCTGGAAAAAACATCCTAATTTCTTTTGTTAATGAATGGACAAGAATCTGACAGATAATGCTAATTGATACATTAACCTACTTTAGACATGGCAGGGATAGTAGAATGTATCCTACTTGTTCCTTTTCTGAAATATGACAGCGTTACATAATAGGAATAAGAAAAATCAAAATGAAACATGAGCCCAAACCTTAGTTATGGTTGAATATTGAAATACACAGTGCAATCCTAAAAAAAAACTTTCTTAGGAGTAAGTCTGATTCTATAGACCAGAGTAGGATTCTGAGTAGACCTGCTTAGGATTGCACTAAAATTCTGCTTTATCTCTATCTCTCTATATAACAATTATTCTTTTTCTTGAATAGCAAAATGCTATAAAACAAATTAAAAATAAATGTAAAAGAGAAGGCATCCATTTCAACAATAGAATACAACTTTTATACTTTTTCAAGTCAAAATTTGGAGACATAATTTGCTCAGAAAGCTATATAGCACTGAGGTATTGACACAAGGGGTTTGATCCCATTGAACACATCCACACACACACACACATGGGGGATTCTCACTGATGCCCCCCTTTTGCAGAAGGCCTCCATCTTTTCTGCCACGCTGTACCTGGGGGATCATCTGGGGGAGCAAAAATTCGAAGAGTAATCGAGGCTGCAGTTGGGGTGCATGTGGAGAAAACTGTGCTACATGGGTAGATATCCTCCTGCCTGTGGTAAATTTCAGTGGGATCCAAGCCATTCTGTTAATCCTACTCAGGGAACAGACTGATCAATTTTGCAGTAGCTTTAAACTTCTGTCATAAAGTTTATAATCTAATTATATAAATTTGACAGTTGATCTGGCTAGCCATGTAACATAATAACATGTAACATAATCTGGCAGGCAATATGACATAATAAAGGCACAGGTAAAGTGATGGGTCAGGGAACAATACATATGTGGATATGAGTGACTGAGAAAGGGCAAAGTAGGCTAAAGCCATAGCCTTTCAGAAGGCCTATCAGTGATAGATAGTAGGTGGGCATCACATAGCAGCCGTGGCTGGAGCAGCATTGTGCAGGGCCAGCAGCAACTGGCAAGAGTTAATGATATTAATCAAGCATGGCCATATATATTGGTTGTACTGTGCAAAAGGTATAAATAAAAATTACTTTAAAAATTCAGTACAAGGGAATGGTTGACAGAGGGAGATGGGCCCCACAACTTTACAAGTGGATATCACCTGGCTTGCAACAAAGGCCAGGAGTGGCACTATGCCAGTGTGCATCACATTCCTTGTGATTCCATTTGTTAGGACTGCAGGGAGCTAAAGTGGAAGCACATTGACAAAACTATTCTGTATCCCAGTCAACATATATTTAAATATAGCTGTTGCCCCTCAGCTTTGGTAAATAGGCATAAATTGGCTTCAGTCTAACTATATTAATTTAATTGCATGGATCAACACTTTCGTTATTTTACAAAGGATAAAGCATCAAATAACTTATCTGTAATGCAAAGGTCATTTCCCTGTCAAAACTATGATAGTAGATCTGTACAGTCCATAAATCCAGTTCTGCTAATCCCAATAGAATTGTTTTCTACCCCAAGCACAGTGCTGCCATTAAAGGATTGGTATACATTAGTATATCATATTTTATATACATTATTATATGTACTGTTTTCTGTGAAGAATTATCCTATTTGCCTTTTAGAATTGATGTCACTATATTCTTTTGCTTGCTGACATAAACATTTCAAAAATTAACCACTTACTTTTGCTATCTATATAGGACACCCAAGTTAGACTGGATGGGCCTTTGGCCTGATCCAACATTGGCATCTCTTATGTTCTTATGTTCTGTACAGTCCATAAATCCAGTTCTGTTAATCCCAATAGAATTGTTTTCTACCCCGAGCACAGTGCTGCCATTAAAGGATTGGTATACATTAGTATATCATATTTTATATACATTATTATATGTACTGTTTTCTGTGAAGAATTATCCTATTTGCCTTTTAGAATTGATGTCACTATATTCTTTTGCTTGCTGACATAAACATTTCAAAAATTAACCACTTACTTTTGCTATCTATATAGGACACCCAACAGTGGGAGAATTTATGTAGTAATCTGGGTTCAAAATGCTACCTTATTGCAGAACATGCATGTAGGAATATGTCTAAACATCTAGATGGCCAAAAGAAGAATGCACCAAAATGTAGTGGTCTTGTTGTGAAATACATCAATGAAACTAAAATTTCTGACCTTTTAGAAATGACCAAGCTTTTAGATGGTGAGTAGAGGAGAGAATTGAATTCTAAAATGCCGAGCATGCTGTAGATTTGTCTATGCAATCTGTAAAAGTATGTAACATTTTATATTTAAATACAGTAATTGAGAATGTTAGGAGTGCTTATTAGACAAAATTGACTTTCATCGTGGCTTGACAATAGAGTTAGAGGTTCAAATTCCAAAAATATGGAATGCATTCTTAACAGCTCAGTGCTGCATACTGCCTAAGTGACTGGGCGTCTCTTGTACTATTAGTTTCTGTTATATATTTCCATGGACATTTTAGAAGTCTTCAGCATGTAACAAAACTGCTAAAATAATTGAATAGTAAGCTTCAGAATTTCACTTACACCAGCTGAGGGAGTGTTTTTCAGCTATAGAGAAAAACCAGTTTCTATACAAGAAAGACAATTTAGAATTATATATCTCAAATCCTAATCCGTAGCCTGGAATATATTAGAAAAGATTATCAGTTCAATTTATCACAGTTGTAGGATGGCAAGATTTACTTTTATTGTAATAGAATAATCTAGTGTAGTTAGCTGAATGTTTCAGGGATCCTAAATATGCTTAGTGACCAGTGCATGATTGTGACTAGTGCATTTAATAAAGTGAAAGAAGAAATAGTTACACATGCAAAGTTACTTACTGTCAGAAAAGACAGTGATCTAAAGCAGGGCACAGAAGAGAAGTTAAGCCAAAAAAATCAAGCATCCTTGTCCATGTATAGGTGTGAAACATGTTTCTGTATTTGGAAGCTCAGATGGAGAGTCTTCTGATGACAGTCTTGTGGACCTTGTAAGTACTTAAATCCATTCAATAACCCAAATGCTGCTTTCTGTCTTAAACTGGCCCATAGTCAAGATGTCGTTTGTAGCTGAGAGATACATAACCTTTTAGGAAATTGGCTTGTTCAAGACAGTCACCTTTCAAAGAGAGTTAATCTTTGAACTTTAAGGGGAAACAACAGCAGGCAAAGGAAGTACACTGAAAAATATGTATTGTTTCTATCTGACATTTTAAGCAAAAGTTAAGTACAGTAGTCAAAACATAGAGCAGTAACAGTATCTTTTATATAACAAGTCATAATGGACTCAGGTTGGTTTCTTTCTGTTTAAAGTATAGTTACACGGGAGATTTGTCTCTAAAAATATGGCCACATTTAGAAGCAGTGTATGATATTTAGTCCCTCCCCCCATATGCATCACCCTGCCCAGGTTCTTGCTGGCTCCTTGGCTTCTTGAGCCCCCATAATGGATTTCCCCTCCTCCTTTGGTTCACAATATGCAGTCCTTCCTGATTCCCTCTCTCTCATCCCCATTCCTTGGCTCTCTTCCTCCCTAGCGTTTCCATTATAGCATTTCCTTTCTCTACGTCCTATGTGAGCTGCATTCCTTGTTCCAAGTCTTCCTTTCTCTTATAACAACTGAACTGTTCAACATTCCATGATTTTGCTGCTTTTCAGCATTCTCACAGCTGTTCACAAAGTTACTAGTAGAATGCCCGTAAACACAGGTAAATGATAAGCAGGACACCACACTGTAGCATATTATATGAATACGATTTACTGCAATTGCAGCATTAAAAACTAATTTGCAACTTATAACCTAACATTTGCTGTTCATTTCCTATAACATAGGCTGAGATATACTTATGATGTAGACTGAGGCATCTAAGATACCACAGCAATAAAGAGTCTTAATTTCTTCAGTGGTTGAAGATTAAATTGTTCATTTTTTATCTCAGGCAGTTGGACTGGAAACCAGGTTTATCAAGTTGGGAGGTCTCTCACGTGGTGAGAGGGTGACCAAGTACAACCGCCTCCTTGCTATAGAGGAAGAACTGTTCCAGAATGGAATACTATGTAAAAACTTCTTTCTTACTTTGTTTTCAATGTTTTAATGAATGGAATCAAAGACTGGCAAAAGAGTGATTGAATTTGCTCTGCAGGGGGGAAGGGGAATCAAAAGACTATAAATAAGCACTTTCAGAAAACAAGGATGTCATTTGCCACAAAGTATATTGTCGTTCTAATGAGTTATCTGTTTACTTGAATGTTAAAATACAGCATTTCTCTAGCAGTAAGCTACA